CCCCCAAGCCACTTGGAGGGGGCCACAGCTGGGGAGCTTCAGTCACACCTGGCCCATCGTGTTCCCCGCAGCCACGGCCACAGTATCTGGAGCCTTTTGGGAGGTGCTAGCTCCAAACACCTACCCTGTGTCAGGAGGTGGGGCCGCTGATCCCCATGCCAGCTCCCATCTGGTGCAGTGAATCCTCTGGTGTCATAGTTCCTTCTTTTCTCCCTGGTTTAGCTTTGGGCTGACCAGTGATCCAGACTCAGCTGGTGGGGGAGAGGGCTGAGCATTGCCTTCCTGCAGTCTTGGAGCTGGGCTTGTGTACCAGCCTGTTGCCTTGGCTAAGGACAGGAGATCCTTGATGGTGGTTCTTTTCACCTGATGAAAGTGCCAGCCCTGCCATCAGACAAGAGGGACCTGGGCTTGGGCCACAGTAGGAGGATAGAAGAGCCTGGGAGGAGCCAGGTGATATGATGGTTTTGCCATATGGGAGCTGCAGCACAGCTCTAGGTCTTGGAGAGGGTGCAGGGGTCAGAGGGCAGTGTGTCTCCCATCCCCTGAACCAAAACCCCCTAACTCTGCAGGGCCAGCTTGCCTGTCACAGGCACGAGGGTCTGCATGGCAGGGTTGCTCTTCCCCTGGGAGCTGCTGTCCCGGGGAACTGGTGTGCTGGGCTCACCTGTAGACCTGCGTCCTCAAGAGCTGCCTCCAGCCAGCCCCTCCTCCTTTGCAAAAACCAGCAACAACATAAAAAGCCCTTCTTGGCTCCGTCTCTCTCCCATCTTGCTTTAATCAGAGGAAGAATGTTCCTCTGAACACCATGGGGTTACAGAGGCTTTGAGAAACAGGAATCATCTACCCCTTAATCACAGCAAGGATTGCCCCGTACGGGTTCAAAAGGAGGATCTGGAGGCCATCCTTAGGGACAGGCGACCCTCTCCAGGGGCTACATGAGGCTGTCACAGCCCGGCCACCCCCTGCCTGGGCACGTGGCCAGCTGGGGCACAGGCATGCTTGCTTCAGCATGGCTCCTGGTGGGATGCTGGCTCCTTGTCAGCACATGTGTGACACTGCTGCCTGCCCCTGCCTGCTGCGTGCCAGGGCTTCTCTCTCCCTCAGGAGCCTCTTGCCTGCACCATGCCCCACATTTCCCACTCTGCAGCCCAGGGCCTTACCAGGCTGGTGGTTCTAGAGCTGAGCTTTGCACGGAGCTCAGCTTTCCATACTGAGCTCACCTGGGGAGCTGTGTGCTCCTGTCCGCTTTGACCAGCACAATGGTCACAGAGCAGCTGGGAGCTTCCTGCCCTGCTGGGTTTGCCACTGTGGTGGGGTGCTGGTAGGGTCTTCTTCCCAGAATTTGGGGGCTGAGGGCAAGAGCATTTCTCTTTGATCCCTATCCCCTTGATGCCTCCTCACAGGCAGGGTTTTTCCTCCACTTCCTTGCTCCTGCTGCATCCCCAAGCCTGGAGGCAGCACTCGGACAGAAACATCCACTATCTCCAGTTTCCTTCCCTGGGCTGAGGGCCTTCTCCACCTTGCATGCCCAGGTCGGGTGTTCCAGGACCCTAATTGCCACAGTTAATTAGTGCTGGGGAAGGGCCTGGAGCTTGCAGTATTTTGCCTTGGGTGTCTGGCATCCTCTGCTTTTAAAGAGAGCAGCCTGATGAGTTCCAGCCAGCACCAGTGGCTTTGCATGGGATGGTCACCCTCGAAACTAGAGGGTTTTTTTTTCTGGACCTGGACCCAATTGGCCCAGCCACTGCTCAGCTCGCTCGGAGGGCTGCGTGTGCCAGCAGCCTGGCAGAGCTCCCCTCGTCCCGGGCTGGGGGCTGCCTGGCTTAGGCAGGACACCCCTGCCAGGAGGGTGCCAGTGGTGCCTGGTCCTAGACCCCAGCCCTGCAGGCGGTTTGTCAGCCACGAGGGAGCAGGGAGGAAGCGAATCGGCCCCTCTGTCCCTGCCAAGAGCGCTGGCAGGAGCTGGCCAGGCGTGCTGGGCGCTGTTTATTTAAAGCACTGGGGCTGCCACAGTTTTCTCAGCTGTTCTCCCTTCCCCTGGCCAGGCCACAGCACAGAACAGGGCTGGGTTTGTTCGGGTGGCTGCCTCCCCACAGCCACGCTCCAGCAAGCGAGCGGCTGGGGGCGGGGGCTGCGGGTAACACGGGGAGGCTTCCCT